ACTGTGGGACCAAGAAGAAAAGGAAAGTGATCTTGGTGGACATGCAGCATTCTAGACAAGGGTAAGAAATCCACCCCAGTACTTCTTTTCCCAGAAATGAAGTTCCTAGCAGTGAGCCTCAGCCTCTCACTCTCAGCATCTTCCAAGAGCCAGGTGAAGTATTACTGTCATCATAATTAGCATTATTAACATCATGTATTTAGTTTATTGAGTTGACACGTAAGCAAGTTTTGCTTTTCCTTATCAGTGTCTCAGTCTCCCCAAGGCAATAAGATTAGTCATCAGGATATGCCATTAACCCTGGTCATGGGACAGAGGTCCCATGTTTATAGTCAGTGACCTGGGTTTAAATGCCAGGGCCTAAGAGAGATTTATCCGCTGAATGCCCAAAGCCCTCTAGAGAGGAGGAGGTGACCTTTTCATTTTGTGCCCCTACTTTCCCCTTCTTGCTGCCTCGGACAAATCTCTGGGTAGGTTCCTCAGAGGGCTTATGGTGACAAAAGCACCACTAGCAATGAGTTCTTTCCTCCTGGGCTGAGACTGTGGATGCCTAGCTGGCCCTTCAGGACTTTGGATTCAAGACCTTCCCAGTCGAGGAGCAGCTATCTTGAAGCTGCTGTTCCAGGAGGAAGAAATATCTGAGTTTTCCTGATGACACAGTCATTTCCTTGGCATGTCAGAACCAAGGTCCTCCAGGAAGCACTCATCTTCCCTGCACCCTCCCTCTGAGCCACATCTTCCTGCCACTGAAGGAGCCCAAGGGTCAGGGTCACGTCTTCTGGGAGGACCTTTGTTCTGGTCTTTGTTGGCCTCCTCTTTCTGCCAGCCTCCAATGGCACCTGGGCCTGTGAACTATATATTGGTTCCCAGCTGGGACTTTGTCCCCCAGAGGCATTTGGCAATAATATGTGAAGACATTTTGATTTGTCACCACTAGGGGTGGGGGCATAACTACTGCTAAATGTTCTGCAGTACACAGGACAATGCCTCTCATCCCCCAACAAAGAATAATCTCGTCCAAAATGCTAATAGTGCCAAGACTGAGAAACCCTGAACTACAGGACAGAATGTGCCCTGTGATCTACTCTCTTGTACTGTGCACAGCTGTGGTTCCAGGGAAGCATTTAAGCCTCGCTTCTCTTCCCAGATATTCCATTGCCCCAACATCTCAGAAACTAAGGCAACAAAATGGGAAAGGCCTTTCAAACCCTGGGCTGGGGCCAGCAAGTTGGGGAAACACCTTTTTTTTTAAAATCTCTGAAGACAGGATGTCTCATGCATCACTGGGGTGAGGAAGGAGGGTGTCTGGTTTGTCTGAGGGTTGGCATGGTGTAATACATCCCAGTAAGCACGGGCCATGGGGTCAGGTACACCCTAATTCAAACTGCACCTCTGCCACTTTTGGCCATGTGGCCTAAGCAAGTTTCATAACCTCTTTGACTTTAACTTCCTTGCTATGAAATGAGGAAAAACAGCCCTCGTTTGTTGAGGTTTGATGAGGGTTGAGTGAGATGGTACAAGCAAAGAACCCAGCACAGAGAAAATCCTCATCCCATGCTAGCTCCTTCCGAAACTGAGAATCCAAAAATGTTCTAAAGACTAGTTCACTCGCAGAGGTCTATGCTGCCAACCTTACTGTTTCATAGAGTTAATGGATAATTTGACTGCTGTAGGCTAGATGAGAAGATTAGGGCCGCTGTAAGCAAGCGACTTCAGGTAGCTCTATGATACACCGGTAGAGCTGAAGCGAAAGGCTTGCTCTGTGTCAGTAGCTGTGATGACGCCATAATGGGCTTGGTCACTGACAGGAATGCAATGAACCACAGGTTGTCCATGGGCACATTTCAGCTCAGTTCACAAACGTATTTTTAAAGGTTAGCAGAATATTCCCATCTTGGGAAATCAGCACTACGCTAATTGTGGAAGTAGCCCTGGGCTGGGAGACAGCCAAGCCTGGTCACCTGTGTTACCAGGAAGCGCCTGTCCTGCCTTTCCCCAGCCCATCTTCTTGATTTCCAGGGCTTGGGGTCCCTTGGCTATAGAAAGCCTGAGGCTCCAGGAGAACCATGCCTCAGGGTGTCCGCCTTTGCACCAATTCACACAGCAATCAGACCAGGTCTTTGCAATCACAGGCGCAGTTTTGACTGGGAGGGAGGACTTGGTATGCTATTTGAGAAAGACTAGCAACCAAAAATTCATGCCCACTGTTTCATAAGTTCCCCTTCTGGAATCTTCCGTAACAACAAAATACAAGCAAGGCCGAGAGTACAGATATGTTCATTGCAGTGTTGTGTGTGATAGCAAAGGATTGGGTGCCTCCCAGTGTCCACCTAGGGAGGATGGGTATACAAATGATGGGGCAGTTGTGTGACATACCGTCATGCTGTTTCTAAAGACCAATGGTAAAAGTTTGGTACAGTGTCAGAAAGTTCTTGTGATATAATGTGTAACATAAAAGAGAGAGAGACAGAATAGCACGTCAGTATCTAAAATGTGTTTCTGTCCAATTTTGCATAAAGTAAGAACTGGATGGGAACATCTTACAGATTGTTTTGGTCCACACAGATTTTCTGTCCCAATATTTTCTTGCATGAGGGCAGTAGAAAAGGTCCTAAGAGGACTCAGTCTCAGCCCCAGAATGAGGGATTCACCATCTCTGGGAGCTGCCAGGAGCAGCAGTGTCAGCCCTGGAGGAGCTAGATGGTGCCTTTCTAAACCCGAGAAACCACCTGCAGCATGTAGCTCAAAAAAGTTGAGTGTGGACCCAAAAACTGGACGAGATTTTAAGGAGCAGGAGGCTAGTCAGAGCAGGGGCAGAGCCTGGGGTCTGTTCTCAGGGGAACAGGCGGGACGGGGGGCTGCTTGAAAGACTCGGAATATGCAGCTCCCTCCAAGTGGTCCTTCAAGGGATCTCCCAACTCGGTTCCCTGTCTTTGGCATGGGTCATTTGCTTTGAAGATACAGAAACTGCTTCAAGCCATGTCGACAAAAAGAACATTTAATGGACAGAAACTCCACAGAGCCCACCCACAGATGACACAGGAAACTCTGAGACGTCGGGGGTTCCCTCCTGTCTCTGGGGCCACTGGGTCTCCACCTCTCCTTTTCTCTCCCACCACTGCTTTGTCTGTGTCCCCCCAAAAGGTCCACGTTCAGGGTTGCCACCCTGCCTTGACCTCTGTTCTGAAAGACAATGGCTCATTCCCATATTTCTGCCTGCAGTTCCCGAGTCCCTCCAAGTCCAAGGAAAAGAAAGGAATCTGATTGGCTCTACTTGGGCCAACCATAAGGATGACCAAGACCCGTTTTTTACCCAACACAAGGCCTGTGGCTGAGCAGGTAACTCCCTGCCCCTATTATCCACCCGCCTTCAAAGCCTTGTGTAAATGAGCTCCCGTTGCCCTCATGCTCACTTCCAGGGCCTGCCTGGCCCCTCCAGTCTGACCCCTCCCAGAGCCCACTGCCAGATGCACTTCCCTTCCAAACAGTCTGTATTTGCCTCAAGCCTAAAGCCCCCTTGATCAAGTGCCAGCCCGAGCCTGCCCAGTTTGTTGCCAGGGACCCTCCTGGGAACCTTGTTGTCTGATGGCCTTTGTCTCTAAGGCTTCCTGATGGCCCCAGACATGCCCCAGGTGTATGCTCCTTTCACACTCAACACAGAACACTCTTTTGACCAGGTGTCCAGGCAATTCTCCAGCAGACTCTGACTGGATGTCCTATAATTCAATTCAATCGGACACTGTCAACCTGGAGTCATAGATCCCACGGGTTAAGGGCTCAGTCCCACAAAACTGCCCCACTTCAAATGCAGTCTCAAGTCATAGGTTGCCACCCATACTTCTGACCAACTGGCTATAAATCGGGGTTCCCACACCCCACTCCTCCGGTTGGATTTGCTAGGACAGCTCACAGAACTCAGGATGGCACTCATATTGACCAGTTCCTGGGAAAAGATTTTACAAAGGATTACAGATGAGCAGCCGAATAAACACGCTCACGTGAGTTGTGTGGGAAGGGCATGGAGCTTCCATGCCCTCTCCCGCATGCCACCCCCCAGGGACCTCAGATGTGTAGGAGCTCATCAAATCTTTGTTCAAGAGTTTTACCTTCCCAGAGGTCAGTAGGCGGGGCTGAAAGTTCCAACCCTCTACTCACTAGGTCTTTCTGGTGACTGACCTCATGCTGAGGCTAGGTAGGGCCCCCACATGGTCACATCCTCAGCATAACTTCAGGTGCTATCAAACAGACTCATTATGAGATGATCACTCGGGAATTTTTTTTTTTTTTTTTTTTTTTGAGATGGAGTCTTGCTGTCACCCAGGCTGCAGTGCAGTGGCGCGATCTCTGCTCACTGCAAGCTCCACCTCCCGGGTTTGTTCCATTCTCCTTCCTCAGCCTCCAGCTGGGACTGCAGACACCTGCCACCACGCCCAGCTAATTTATTTTTTTTTTTTTTTGTATTTTTAGTAGAGACGGGGGTTTCACTGTGTTAACTGGGATGGTCTAGATCTCCTGACCTTGTGATCCGCCCACCTTGGCCTCCCAAAGTGCTAGGATTACAGGCGTGAGCCACCAAGCCCGGCGATCACTCGGGAAATTCTAAGGGTTTTAGGAGTTCTGTGACACCAACTGGGAACAAGGACCAAATATACTGTATTTCATATTATACTACCACCCTCAATTAGAGCCTGGAGTGCTTGGGGGCAGAGCTTCTGCCATGCAGCACCTGGGAAGATGCTGAGCCCCCTGGATGGTCAGCTGATTGTCACCACGGGATCTGGCTGGTGGCCAGAGCAGGTGCACAGACTGCAAACCCTGGTGGCCTCCGGGCAGCATGCATGGCTGCCCTGCAGAAGGGGCCTGGGGTAAAGAGCAGACATCATGAGGCTCTGCCAGCTGGGGCTGAGGGAGGCGTGTGGGAGTGGAAGTACCTGGAGCCCAGGGACAAAGTCCTGTAATAAATTACGTGGGCCCAGAGCACTCCCGGTCATTTCCTCTTGGAGCCCTACCTCCTCTTCCTCTGTCCCTTACTCCCGGACACACCCGGAGTCCCAACACTGCCTCCTTTCCTGACTCTTTCAGGGTGCCCAGGGTGGAGGGGATCCCCATCCTGACAAGGTAAGGGCGTGCTGGGGGCACGTGTCTGCCAGTGGGGAGGGGGGGTCACCGCTCCGAAGAGGGTCGCGGGGCAGGAAGTAGGTCCAAGATGTAGGTCCCCTGGCAATAAGATGGAACAGGTCTGAGGGATAGAGAATGGAGAAGCCCTTCAGGAGCCTGGAAACCAGAAACCGCAGCAGGGGACTCAGTCCATCCCGCTGAAGGGCAGCCCCGGGGGTGCTGAGGAGGAGGAGGAGGGGGAGAAGCTCCCTGCAGGAGGGGAACGGCAGGTGCCAAGGCTGCTGCCACCCTGAAGCCTCCTCACAGCTGGAAGGCCTCACTGTGGAATCACGGGATGTCAGGGATAGCCTGGGTCCCGTAATGAGCCTCTGCCAGATGTCAGCTGTGCTGTGTGTGACATCCCACTGCATCCTTGCAACACAGTGGTGGAATTGCCTCCATTTTACGGCCACAGAGACTGACGACCGTGGAAGTGAAGCCATGGAAGTGAAGGTGCCCACAGGAAGAAGCAGAGCCGGTTTCGACTCCAAAGCCCAGGCTCATCCGCCGTACCCATGTACCTTGGGCAACTGACTTTAGTCGCCTCTGGAAGGCTAGGGCTCTGGGGAGAGGCAGGACAGGCCTGGAGTGGGGTGGGGGGTGGGGGGCGAAGAGGTGGCTGAGGAGAGGGACCACGCTGGGCCTCACATGGGCTGTCCCCCTTGAGCTGTCCAGGTGGTGTGTGTCCCATCCCCATTTCACAGAGGACGAAACTTGAGACACAGAGATTGTGAGAGCTGGCCCAGTGCAGACAGCTGGTGGGTGTGGGGCCCCCAACCCATATCCCCCAAATTCCGCATGACGAGGCCTCCCCTTCAGGCTCCACTTTGTAACTCTGGACTTGAATTTGGCTCTAATTTTTCAGACCCCTGAACTTTGTTTA